TTTTTACGCTCGGCCTTCATTTGGTAGCCTTCTATTTTCCGCCAAAAGTAAAGAGAGAACATGTTGGTGTCACCGTTCACTCTTGCCTTTTGATTTCCTTGTGTGTGATCTGTGGCAGTTACCTGAAAATAAGCAAACGACTGCGATCGCCTGCACCCGGACTCGACGTTCTAAGTCGTCAATCTGCTGAGCACAATCTACGACTTTCAAGAACAATTTTTGTTGCAATTGCTGTATCCCTTGTGTTCTGGATACCAGCTATTGTAGTGTACATAACGAGGGACTTATGCCATGGATGTTTTCCGCCACCCATGATTGTAACTGTGAATGCTTTGCATTTGGCGAATTCGATGGTGAATCCATTCGTCTACAGTTCCAGGATGCAGATATTCAAAGACGCGCTGAAGAAGCTATCGCGAAAGAGACGTCAAAAGGTGGATGTGAGTTCCTGTCCCACGACAAGGAAGGGATTGAGGTCACAAAATGCATTTCAGCGTCCGACAATGGATCCTACATCCTACCCATCTGGCATTTAGCAAGAATTGGGTGAAGTGGAACCTTGTAAGCGAAGTTAAACCTTCACCTTTGTTAAGTTGGTAAGACCGGTGAGGCATCACACAAACTGTTAAAAAAAAAGTAAAGAAACACATATATGTTGAACAGGCTAGTTTGTATTTAGTTCCTAAATGTAGTGACTTTCTCCTTGAACACAGCTAGCGATAGAGACAACACTACCCCTGCTGGGAGCTGATTCCACTCCCTAAAGATCCTTGCCGGAAAAAAAGGAGAATTTGAGGGCATTCTTAGAGCTAAAGGGTGTCTGGAATTTATACACATGGCTGTTCCGTGTTCTTGTTTTCTTGGAGGATTGCAAATAATTAACAATTGTAGGACGAGGTTGAGCAAAATATCGTGATTAGTGTAATAGTACTCAAAAAGGCAATTTCGAAAGTTGAGATTTTAATTCAAAATTTAATATTCGCGACGAGGTGTGTTCATTTCCGAGATTGTACTAGCTTAAAAGGTGTTAAGTCAATAACTAATAACAGTTTAATGGGACAGTACGCGTCATGCCTAAGTAATTGGACAGTACGCGCCATCACGCGCGCGCTTAAATGGCTTTTTTAAACTTTTTTTTTCAGTGCTGGCAAAAAAAAAGGCCTTATAATTTCTTGTGTTTTGATTTAAAAAGAGCCTTACTAATGGAAATTCAATTTGCCTCAATGGACGTCACCAGCCTCTACAAGAACATACCCCAGAAGGAGGGTATCACAACTGTATGCGAATCATACGAAGAATTCTATGAGGAAAACGCTCCCATTCCTACCAGGAATTTAAGAGAAATGCCAAGTCTGATTCTACAAGATTCAATGGAAAAGATTACCTCCAAACTCATGGAACAGCCATGGGGACGAAAATAGCCGTAGCTTTTGCTAACATATTTATGGCCAAAATAGAAAGAGAAATACTCAGAAAAAGCACCACAAAACCTTTCAATACACGAATTTCTTTTCGTGTCAACCACAAAGCGTCACGAAAAGGAGAAGCGTTAAGGCTTCTGAGAACAAATTCCTCTCAATTTACTTTTGAGGAAAACATGATTAATTTCAAAACACACCTGCAGAATAGAGATTACCCAGCTAGAATTGTAGAAAAACACCTTTCAGAGATTAAATTCTCTGATAAGTTATAACCTTTATAACTTAATTCAAACAGTTGTATTCGACAAATGTAATATTCAGTTCCTACTGTGTACTTTGCCGTTACAATTTCTCATGTATTGCTACTTTCCTAAATAAACGGATCAGACAATAAAAAAATACATTTTGGCAGTTTGGTCCACTTTGGCCTCGTTAGCACCCCCCACACAAAATCCTGGTTACGGGCGTGCTGTATTTGTCCTCTGGACACAACCGAAACTACCGCAAGCGAAATTAGTCACGCCATTCACAACAGATCAAAATAAAAATCAAAACCGTTCAATTGATAAAGTCCAGAATCTGGGAAATGAAAGGAGGTAAATATGCAAAGACCCTCGCCAAGATTCAGGTCAGAGGAATGTTTCGTATACGAGATATCCGAAGAAATGTTTTACCCAAATAAATAGAGATTTGTATGGAGACGCCACGCTGGTGCCCAGCCAGATTCGCACCAACAGGGCGGACCGAAACCAACAGAAACATCTGTTTCCGAGTTTTGCTACAAAAGCGTGAATTTATTCTTCTAGAAACTCATAAACATTAAAGTAATACTTTTTCTCATACATGAACTGTTTAGATTGCAAAATTCCCTGAAATAAGTCATTTTTTAACCTACATGCATGACAACGCTCTAGGCTGTCGTGTAAATGCCGCGTCACGCAAAAGCTTAGAAATTCAGACGTACTCTATCACAAAACCAAGAACCCGTTTGAAGCGAAAATTTGTATCAAAATTAGTTTTCAGCTGCTCTAATACATCGTGAAAGTAAAACCTCCGTAGAATTGATACTTTTGTAGTTTGAATGTTAGTGACGTCATGTGAAAACCAACAATAGGTCACGCACGTTAAGAATTTCAAATGCGTCACGGCAAAATCGGTAAACAAGCTTAACTTGTATAACCAGTCTCGCTGGTTTAGCCACGTAAACCTGTTTTTATGGTTTCCCATATCTCTCTTTTAGTTTTAGGGAAACTCGTTTCAGCAAATCCCAAGGGATTATAAAAGCTAGACCATCATTGGATGCCTCCTCTTTAATCTAATTAATGCGGTCAAAAGGGAAATATACACGCCTCCTGGAAATAAAGACAAGTATATACTAAACTATATTCATTTTTGCTCCCTTTTTCTGAAAGTGGGCTCAGAAATCAACTGAAAGTGACCTACAACAGATACGCTAACCAAAGGCTCCGCCTAAGCAGGCAAGGGAAACGAACTACAGGGTTACCTTTCATTAGATGTAAATTCATTACTACAAGATCCTACAGCCTGTAAAATTCTATAAACATGGTTATATATTTGCATTTTTTGATGGGGAATGAAGGGAAGCTTCAATATTCAGTTTACTCGATAAATTGATAAGAGACGCCCTCTTTCCTAACAGATCACAGAAAGAGCAAAGAGATGATTTCTTCGACTTTTACTGCCTTCGTTGTCATCTATACATTAGAGGCATTCGTTATCATTGTTGGAAACACGTTCACCATAATTGTCTTCTGGAGCCAGCGATCCCAGTTAAAGCGAACATATTCCATTCTTATTAACCTCGCAGTTTCTGATCTGCTTGTGGGGATTGCCGAACCAATTGTGCTGGGCACAGAGAAGATTGCTAAGATGACGGCCATTCCAGGTAAAGAAAAAAGTTTTACNATTACTACAAGATCCTACAGCCTGTAAAATTCTATAAACATGGTTATATATTTGCATTTTTTGATGGGGAATGAAGGGAAGCTTCAATATTCAGTTTACTCGATAAATTGATAAGAGACGCCCTCTTTCCTAACAGATCACAGAAAGAGCAAAGAGATGATTTCTTCGACTTTTACTGCCTTCGTTGTCATCTATACATTAGAGGCATTCGTTATCATTGTTGGAAACACGTTCACCATAATTGTCTTCTGGAGCCAGCGATCCCAGTTAAAGCGAACATATTCCATTCTTATTAACCTCGCAGTTTCTGATCTGCTTGTGGGGATTGCCGAACCAATTGTGCTGGGCACAGAGAAGATTGCTAAGATGACGGCCATTCCAGGTAAAGAAAAAAGTTTTACAAATCCATCATCTGCATTTCAAGTCCTTGCGTCGAGTACTTCAGTGCTTTTTCTCGCGCTTATTTCCTTGGAACGTGTTTATTCCGTTTTATGGCCAGTTCAGCACCGTGCGACAAGCACTCGGACTTATATTTTCACCATAACCGCTGTCTGGGGTCTTGGACTCTGCTTCTTTGGGCTATCTGTATTATCCTTATATCATACAAAATTAGAGATGAGATACGTTACTCTAACCATTCATGCAAGCCTTTTCATGGCACTATTAGTGATTTGTGGAAGTTACCTTCAAATACGCAAGAAATTGCGCGCAAACGTCATTCCTGGTGAAGAGATCCACGCTCGCCACAAAGCTGAACGCAACTTACGACTGTCAAGAACAGTTTTTGTAGTTATGGCTGTGTCACTGGTGTTTTGGTTGCCAGCGACCATTTTGTACACTGCCAAAGACTTTTGCTGCCCACCATGTCTTAGACCGATCGCAGTGTCGCTTGTAAATGTTCTTCATCTGGCAAATTCTATGGTCAATCCGATCGTGTACAGCTTTAGAATGGTAATATTCAAGGATGCTTTGAAGAAATTGTCTAGAAGATGCCGACGATATTCTGTTTGCATTGAACCCTTTCAGGTTACTGAGAGAAGCTCGGGTGGTACTTTCTCTTCAAAAACTCAACATACAAGATTTAATTCACCTGAACTGAAACCCAAGGATGACATCTCAACACATGTGTGAAATATCATAAATAAGACCTTCAATCATCAAACAATATTCAGTGACTGTTAACAAACAGAAAAATACAGCAAATATAGATAGAGTCGACGGTATTATAAAGGGGAAAAGCAAGCGTATAGTACGTACACTAATTCAGTATTACAAATGAAAGTATGAAAGTACACAGTTTTGAAAAATGGACAGTGTAGTATGTTTCCAGAATGTTAGTATTGTATTTCATGATCATTGTTTGTGTCATTCTTCCCTTAATTTAAATGGAATCTTTCACAAATCTATTTTTTGGCGGTAAACATGTTCCATTTGTTAACCAAGAAGGCTATTCCCTTACTAATTTAAAGAGTTCCAAAATTTGAGTCGGTAGTTTTCTTAATCATATCAATGGTTTCGTAAAATAAGATATCAGACTTAAGCTACAATTATTAGCAGCCTTAGTTACGAATTAAGCTCAGACAAACGTGTTTTAGCAAAAAAAAAATTTTAATCAAGATATGTACACCGAGCTCGCAAATAACTGAGTTGAAATCGTGTTTACAGTTTGTTTTTATAAGTAAACTGAAACCTGACATATATGAAATTATGTATATGAAACTAATATGACGGGCATTATTCTCGGTAAAAAATTTGAGGATAGTCATCCTCATCCGTTTATTACCAGTTTTAAAATCGACAAAACCGATGGAGTTTAACTATGAACTCGACACTGAAAACTTGTCATTTAAAGTAATTTGGTCCATACATATATCGCGATTGCCATTGGTAGTAAAGCCGGAAAAGCAGTGTAAATAGCAAGGCATAATNGTTATCGCTGTGTCACTGGTGTTATGGTTGCCAGCGACTATTGTGTACACTGCCAGACCCTTTTGCCGTCCACCATGTGTTAGGCCGATTGCAATGTCGGTTGTAAATGTTCTTCATCTGGCAAATTCTATGGTCAATCCGATCGTCTACAGCTTTAGAATGGCAATATTCAAGGATGCTTTGAAGAAATTGTCGAGAAGATGCCGACGACATTCTGTTTGCATCGAACCCGTTCAGGTTACTGACAGAGGCTTGGGTGGTTCTTTCCCTCCGAAAACTCAACATCCAAGATTTAACTCACCTGAACTGGAACCCAAGGGTGACATCTCAACACATGTGTGAAATATCAGAAATAAGACCTTCAATCAACAAACAATATTCAGTGACTGTTAGCAAACAGAAAAATACAGCAAATATAGATAGAGTCGACGGTATTATAAAGGGGAAAAGCAAGCGTATAGGACGTACACTAATTCAGTATTACAAATGAAAGTATGGTAGAGTCATAGCAATTACACAGTTTTGTTAAATGGACAGTGTAGTATGTTTCGAGAATGTTAGTACTGTATTTCATGATCATTGTTTGTGTCATTCTTCCCTTAATATAAATGGAATCTTTCACAAATCTGTTTTTTGGCGGTAAACATGTTCCACTTGTTAATCAAGAAGGCTATTCCCTTACTAATTTAAAGAGTTCCAAAATTTAAGTTCGGTAGTTTTCTTAATCATATCAATCGTTTCGTAAAATAAGATATCAGAGTTAAGCTACAATTATTAGCAGCCTTAGTTACGAATTAAGCTCAGACAAACGTGTTTTAGCAAAAAAAAACTATTTTAATCAAGATATGTACACTGAGCTCGGAAATAACTGAGTTGAAATCGTGTTTACAGTTTGTTTTTATAAGTAAACTGAAACCTGACATATATGAAATTATGTATATGAAACTAATATGACGGGCATTATTCTAGGTAAAAAATTTGAGGATAGTCATCCTCATCCGTTTATTACCAGTTTTAAAATCGACAAAACCGATGGAGTTTAACTATGAACTCGACACTGAAAACTTGTCATTTAAAGTAATTTGGTCCATACATATATCGCGATTGCCATTGGTAGTAAAGCCGGAAAAGCAGTGTAAATAGCAAGGCATAATGTAAATAAAACCTTGCATCAAATAAGCAAATGATAATTTGACTATTTATCCAGTTGTTGAGGTCGCAGCCCCTTCCTATCATATTTGTATCGTATCCTGTTGCTATCAGCATTTATTCGTTGACTGGGACAAAATTTAGACGTCATGTTTGCAGTTGTACTAATACATTTACCTCACTGAGGTAATGCTTATCATTCTTCCATCAGATTGCATGTGTGTGAGAATAAATATGCAGTTCATAATTGGGCATGTGTGCAAGTTATTAAAACTGTTCAAAGTTTGTTAACCCTTTAAACCCTAAGACCAAAATTTGAATTCTCATTTGTGCCCACTATTCATTTCCTACAGAAGTAGTAGGGAGAAATTGATAAAATATCAAGCAAATGCAACTTGTGTCATCATGACCGTAATTCTCATGACCACTCTGTTTTACAAAGCATTGATATTACAAGGAGAAATTTAATTAATGCTGATCACTCTTAGGGCTTAAAGGTGTTAATATCAATATCCAAACACGTCTGGACTATATAAATGAAGTAAATAAAACGAATTAGAAATATACATATCAAATATATATATTTATATTTTTTCGCATGCAACCCTAAACGGGACCTTCACGGCCAAATATGATGGCGTTTTGCCCAGAACACTTTAAGTGAGATCAAAATTCGAAATTTACACCCCGACCCTAAGCGAGACGACGAGCACCCCCACCCCTTTCATATGCGGAGTTCCCCCTCCCCCTCGGGGAGTTTAAGCCTCACGTATGCGGTAAATAACAAACGTCAGATTCAAGTTGAGAATTTCTCAAAATAAGTCGGTCTTAATGAATTCGAGGTAGGTTCGGCTCATGAAAATTTCGGCGTCTGAACCGGGCCTTAACCTCCCTAATAACTAAGTGAGCCACCGTTGCTATGTTTCTTCTCCTGTTTTACTCTCAGTCTCTCTTGCTCTCTATCTAATGTTTCTCTTTTTTGTTGTAAAGCATTTTATGGCCGGTTTATGATATTTTTCTTACAAAGATTGTGTTTAAAATAATTAAGTACTTATTTTCATCAGCTATCAAGACCATGACCCTTTACGCAATCTTTATTTATTTCAATCAGCGTTTTGCACGCCCTTTGGCTATGGATATTATATAACGATTTATAAGTAATTCTAAATTTCTACTTAAGTATTCTGATCACATCAGTTTATCCTCGCACTTCCTTTTTGGCTACTTGAATCCTTTTGATACGATAAAGATTTAACTACAGTATGCACAGTAAAGGACGAAGACATTTATAAAGAAACTGCGTTCAGCCACCTTTTAAGCATCACTCATACGGCGATCAGCAAACGACAAAGATGCGCTCGAGAATGATAATTGAATGAAGTTCTCTTTCATGATTTTAAGTTACGATGTTAAGAATGTGAAAGCCGGCTCAGCTTGTTGAAAACGGCCAGTGACAAACGATAAGCGTAATGAGCAGCGGAAAAAATTGTCACTTGGCCACCTTCGTTTGCCGTTTCCTGCTTTTTCATTACCTTGGCGCCCAATTAATATCCTATTTGATCAAGAGATTTAGAACCATCGTCACGGCGAACATGCCAGCAAAACGTCCAGTTGTACCACGTGACTAAGTTTTTTTCGATGTTCCTGATATTTGCAATGAGTATTTTCACGCAAGTTTCATCCACAAAAGTCAAAGAGGACTATTTCGATAGACTTTGCCACGCCATAAGCGGGTGCCTTCTCTTATCTGGTTTGTTTTTACGGAGAGATTACTTAGTTTACTTGCGTTTGTTAAAAATGGCCGGCATCAGAAATACTAAACCTCGACCTACGAGTGTCAACCGCTCCATCCAGTCCATCTCACATCTTATCAACGGTTGTGTCAGTAGCATGATATAGTTTAATCCTCTGAGCAATTATCCGCACGTTAGCAAATAGATAAGTATGATAAGATGGGCCGCCGATAATTACCCCCTTTTAAGTCTTTCTAACACCCAACGTAAGGAAAAAAATACCAGGTCTTCTCTAATCACTCGTTCAAATCCGCTCTGCCATTAAATCTAAACCAAATAAGCAACCTACAATCGAAATGTTGAATGATTATGCTGAAACAGTATTAAGTAATCTCATTGCCTTTAATCTCACATTTGAAAAAAAAATACCATAGTAACGGTAATTCAGTTGAAAACACGAAAATTGTAATATCTCTTTTGAACCAAACATGTAATTCATTGGCACTAAAATCACATAAGCGGTATACGATTGAATTAATGTGAAGGCAGTTTTTAATTACAGTACTTTATTTCCAATTCATTTCTTTGAAAACTCATGAAGAGCTAAAGCGCCTGTCTAAGTCATGCCACATTCTGACCAGTTGAAGTTTTTGTTCTTGGGAATAGCAAATGGTCAATAAATCACGTACGTACATTTTGATTTGGTCTGAACAAAAAGTGTTTGGAAAGAAAAACAATAACAGACGATTTTTTTTTCGCTTCATTACTTTTATAACTAGTGAGTTTTGCTTCACAGCTGTTTCGCATAAAGAACAAGGTATCCTTTGAACTTTTCGCTGGATATTTGAAAAAGTTAATGTATAAAAACAATTACCAGCAAAAAAAAAATGTATTTATCGACGTCCATCATCTTCGTGGTCATCTACACAGTACAAGCAATCATCATCATCGTTGGAAACGTCTTTACTATCTTTGTCTTCTGGACTCAGAGATCTCGCCTAAAACGAACTTATTTTCTCTTGATCAACCTCGCAATCGCCGACTTTCTTGTGGGGATTACAGAGCTAACAGTCTTAGGAACCGCTATATCACAAATCACGACGGATGATTACGCAGTACTAAAGCAAAGCCAATCATATCCCTTCGTGGCATTCGTTCTCCTATCATCAAGTACCTCCGTTTACTTTCTGGCGCTTATCTCCTTGGAACGAGCTTTTGCCGTCTTGTGGCCAATCCGCCATCGCATCGCAAACAGTGGAGTTTACATCAAAAGCATCCTTGTTGTGTGGACAATTGGACTGTGTTTCTTTGCTTTAACTCTCCTCTCCTTCCATTACCCAGAGGTGAAAAAGAAATACGTTTTCGCTTGTACTAATACATGTCTTCTTATTTCTCTCTTGGTTATCTGTACCAGTTATCTTAAAATACACAATCGATTACGTGCACCATCACCCGAGCTTGATATCCATACCAATCAACTAAGAGAACGCAATGTGCGGCTTTCAAAAACACTTTTTATCGCAATTGCTTCATCTCTTGTGTTCTGGATGCCGGCGTTTGTTGGCTACTCAACGAGAGAATTATGCCTGCGATGCATTCCTGATACTGTGGTACCCTACGTGTATGCCCCACATTTAGCAAATTCTATGATGAATCCTCTCGTCTACAGCTTCAGGATGCAAATTTTCAAAGACATCCTGAAGAAATTCTGCAGCCGAAAACGACATAACATGGAAATGAGAGCTACACCGCAAAATACAGTGGATTTAGCTCGGAGAGTTTCTTTCACTCCAAAACCGCGTGAGGCAGTTTCACCAACTATTTTATCAACTTCCGGCAATGACGAAAAAAATACATTAAACGCACACACACACTCATCCAAACTAATTGTATATAGCTTAGGTTGGAGAATCCTAACCTAATAGTTTGCCAAATCTAGTGCAATATCAGTCTTTGCTCTTGCGCAAAATTGTGCAAATGTGGTATTAATTTGCTACACATTTGCTGTAATTTGGCCACCCTAGTAAATCCCTTTTTTCGTCCAGTGCCACTTAATTGCGCATCGCAGAGACTGCATACCTTCTTCAGCGGTATTCTCGACAGTTTATAACTCACTGAACGGTAAATTGATAGAGATATACCACAAACGTTCTTTTTGACGGTTTAAAAATGAAATTGTGAAGCCTTAAGATTTATCACCTAAACGTATTCAAAATAAAACCTGAGCAAACATAAAGCACTTAAAATGTAAATCCAATGTGTGATTATTCTACATGGAAGACTAAATACTCGTTGGAATACCAGGCGACAAATTAATGTTTAATGTTTGTGGAGCTGATGACTAGAAGCTTTTAAGGTTCTGCAAGTCTGTAAGTACTTATAAATTACTATATTGAATATATCATATACAAGTAAGTCTTTAACTGAAATAGATAAATTTGAAAAGAGGGCCTTTTCTTGCATTTCGTGACACCCCCAACGCACGGTGAAAACTTTAAATTATGAAATGAATAAATTAATAGACACATAAGACTTCCTATCCAAAACAAATTCAGCCCTTAAATAGCTATTTCAACTCTTCAATAGTTAAACTTTAGAAATCTAATTCACAACACACGTTTTACGTAGTCTTAACCCTATTCCGACAGAGGACCATGACCTACAGCGCCAAAGCCATGTATATGTTGTAGTTAATTTAATTTTTTTTCTCTCTTATATTTGTGATAACAAGAATAAATAGATTTAGTATATACTAAAACAGTGGATAGTGTTTTCCGCGCGCTCTGATTGGCTACTCAATCAGTGAATATCCTGCACTATTCACTGATTCACCGCCAGTTCCTCGGAGCGAGCGACGCCAAACTCGTGTAA